AGGAGGATTGTTTGGTTGCTGAAGGAATGAATTTACATGACTCCATCCATGCCAATGCCTGGGGGCATGTGTTTGCAAGGGAGCCAGCAAGAGTCTGAGCACAGCTTGTGGGAATATGGCTTGATTTGCATAGGTTTCTCAGCAACACAGCTACCCGCAGTCCTGGGGTACAGAAATAGAAAAGCGGGGAGCTGGGCCCTGGGAAAATGTAGACAACTGTGGAGAAGCCGTGTGGCATAACAACATGTATGTAGACATACATATACATACATCTTCAAAGCTTTCAAATTGCCTTATGTGCTTTTATATCATGTGAGTCCCACAACAACCTGGGGGGTGGTGCTATTATTGTCACCATTTTACTACTGAGGAAACTGAGGCCAAGACACTGTCATTGTCACATAGCTACTGTCTGAGGCCAGGTTTGAACCCTGGTCTTCCTGACTCCAAGTCCAACACGTCACCACCATTCTGCTAGCTTAACGTCGAGACTTGGAGTCAGGAAGACCGGTCAGAATTTTGGCCTCAGACCCTTCTCTGGGTTGGTCATCTGAGCTCTTTGAACATCATTCTCTTGTCTGTGATATGGGATAATAATCCTGCACTGTTTTTTTTGAGGGGTGATTTTGAGGAAAGCTCCTGGAAAAATCTTCAGTTGGCACCATGGGCTTTAGGGGAATAGTCTGCAATGATAGTCAATCAACAAACAAACATTTATTAAGGGACTGTGTAATTATTTATGTACATGTCATCCCTGAAAGAATATAAGCTTCTTGAAGGCAGGGGCCGTTTTATTTTTGTCTTTGTATCGTCGTTTTATAGTAAGCACTAAAATCAATGTTTGATCAAGCATCGTATACCCTTTCCTCAAGACAACTCAGGCATGTAAGGGCTCAAGGTCACGATACATGTGACATTGTCTCTATTTTATAGATGAGTAAACTGAGGCCCAGAAAGTTCAAAGCAGCAAAAATCACATCATAATAGAAAACTCATTAATCTGTTAAGAACCAGATGAACACAGAAACGCTTCCAGTCTCGCAAGAGAATGACTTTTTCAGGAAGGTGAACTTCCCTCTGAGCAAGCTTCGGGCCCAGCAGAGGTGGGGAAGATGACTGTCTTATTAGCAGGGCCAGGAAGCCCCTGCCTGGAACGTGTGGGGCTGGAGTGATGAGTCACGGTGCCAAGCTCCCTTTGCACGTCTGGCCCCGGCTGTACAGCTCATACAATTTGATGTTGTCTCTTCAGCTGTTAGGAAGTTTCACTTTATTGGAAAATGCCCCATTTACTTGAAGTCCTACAGTGCTCTAAACTTCTCAGGAGGAAGCTGTAAGCCTGTAATGGCCTGAGGTGGTTTCGGAGGCAAGTAAAGAGAAACCTCATTTCTCTGCTCTGTCTGCTGTGCAGTGAAGCCTGTCACTTTCTCCTAAGGCCAGAATCTTCAGGAATTGGATTTTAAAGTTAGACCAGGAGGAAGCAGGAGGAGGGTAGATGGCAGAATTCAGGGCTGCGAGTGTAGACCAGGTTTGAGTCACCACTAATGGCACAGGCGACTTCACAGGGCAAATGGCTTGACATCTGTAAAATGGGGCTATGGATCCATGCTCTACCTATCTCACAGGGCTTTGGGGAGGAAACTATTTCATAACTTACTAGGGGTAGGAGCTCAGTCAGCCTTGGGAGACCTAGTACCTACTCCAGTTTTTTCATTCATAAAGTGAAGTGGCTGGATTTACCTGGTCTCCGAGGGTCCCTTCTGCTTTAAATTTATGGTCCTATTACCCTGAAGTATGAAGCACTATAAAACGTGAGTTATTACCTAAACTGCACACTTTTGTAGACCGAATGTGCTAACGTGTAAAGCAATTTGCAAACCTTAAAACTCTCTATAAATGTGATTGCTATTGTTACTATTATTATTACAGAATTGTATCAGTCTTTCCACCTTTGAGGTGGTATTAAAACTTCATTATTTGAAATTTAATCTCGAGTCAGGAATATAAATAAGACCAAATCCCAATCATATTTATATAAAATATGTTGATAAAGATATAAAATAGATAGCTCTATAATGTACATGTGTCCATATATGTATCTATATATGCATCTGTTTGTACAAAATGTGATAGATTGATAATATCTTTAAAATATTTGATTACATAAACATATTTGTTCATATATGTATATGTGTATACACATACATATCTACAATATATATTCACATATATTCACATACACACACAAATCTTTTGATAGGCCGTAACAACAGCAGGGCCATGGCTTCACTGGACCTTAGCCAAAAAGATGAGAAGTAAGATGTTACCTAACCATAACTGAAATTTCTTTGATGCCTTAAAACATTTTCCATTCATTCAATCTTACCTCTATGCATTAAGAGAGTCCATGGTCTGACAAGTTTTCATCCTACAGTTGGGAAGACCTGGGTTCGAGTCTTGCCTCTGACATACACAGGCTGTTTGACCCTGGGCAGGTCACTCAACTCCTCCAAGTGAGAAATACAAACTACTAATAGCAACCTGAAAAAGTTTCTCAATAGTGAATAATCCAAAATGAAAATCAAAACAACCCTGAGGCATGCCTTGGTCTGGCCAAACCGGAATGTATCAGTACTGTCCAGCACATACCGTTGGTTCCGTCACTCCCTACAGCTCTCCAAAGGGGCTGAGCCAAGTGGTAACTTCCTCACGCGTGACCAGCAGACCTGCTTTCCCTTCTGCTTGTGAACATGCATTTTTCTGTCATGGCGGATTTGAAAGAGGCAAAAGCGCCTCTCAGACTTGTTTTGATATGCATTTCTCTGATTATTAATGATTGGGAATTCTTTTTTCAAGATGTCAGTTGATAATTTGTGAAAGCAGCCACGCAACTCCCCTGCCCTGATCAGATTTTAAAATTTCTACTTCTGATCTAAAATAATTAAATTAGAAACCATCATTTAAAAAAATTCTGGGTAAGGTAGAAATTATATACTTTGCTTAACATTTTTTTGAGAGGAGGATTTGGGGAGCCCTGGAGATAATTGGCAACTTTAGATATTTAAAATTTAAATTTTGCATTTAAATTTGAAATTTTTAAATGCATTTAAAGTAATTTTCTAAAGTGAAATGATTCTATTTGTGACGGCCCTTGTGGGTAGTAAACCTGTCTGCTAATGGGCTAGTGCTCCAGGCCAATACTGGGAGAAACTGTGAAGACCATTCAGAACCAGTGAGGATTAAGGCACTTTCCTTCTCTGAGACTTCCTTTTTCATCCATAAAACAGGGGACTGATCTCTTAGGTACTCTAAATTCTGTGATCCTGGGATTCTGCTGGTGGCTCCGACCTCAGAGTGCTGTCCACAGGATAATTATTCTGTTTTTTTTTTCTGCCTATTAGATTTGGAGGCAAAAGAACTAGGTTGGAATTCCATCTCTGCTGCTACCGCTTGGTCTGTTTGAATTTGAGCAAGTCAACTCGCCTTTGCTGGCACAGTACAACAGGACATGGTCTGAACTTAGAGTCAGAGGCCTGGGGTTCAAATCCTAGCCTTAACAACCATTCTCCACTTCCTGTCTCTGAGCTTTGGTTTTCAATAAAGTGAGAGATTGGATAAGAGAACCTGCCAGGTCCCTTCCAGCTGCAAATCTATGATATGCCATTTGACCCCTCTGGTCCTCCATTTCCTTACCTGCAACATCTTCTGGAGTTGGACTTAATTGCCAAGGTCCCTTCCAACCTTAAATCTATGGGATGCTCCTCAGATACATCCTAAAAACTTTCATGGTTTTATTTCTTCTGTTTATCCCTTCATTGGCTTTTCCAATGGGATTGCCATTTCAGTGAGTTTTGACTTGTCCATAATGTTCTGTTCTTGTTGTAATTTTCCATGTGGGCTGAATTTTACCAACAAATGGGCCAGTTTCTGCCTATGAGGTTGTAAGAAAACAGATACACGCTGGTGACTCGAGCTTTGCAGCCTTTGGTCAAGGGAGGGTGATGGGAGGTGGTAATATAATGAACAGGGCAGAGCCTTTCCACTTTGCAGGAGAGACGAGGTTTGTACATGGATAGTTGGAGGCTAAATAGGTGTTGATATGCCAAGTGTTGGGTGACATGGGAGGAAGGAGGGAACCATCCGAGCTCAGGCACCTTCCTTTTTGTTCTTATACTCTATGTTCTAAGGTCCCTCCCAGTTTTTCATTCTGGGTTCTAAAGGCCTTTACCTGCTCTCATGGTCCATGTTCCAGTGTCCTCTCTAGTGCTTAGATTATGTTCTAACATCCCATGTTCTAAGGTATCTTCCCACTGTAGCATTCTACATTCTAAGGTATCTTCTGGAGCAAACATTCTATGTCGTAAAGTACTTCCAGGGTTCTAGAGTCCCTGCTAGCTCTCCCAGTTTATGTTCTTAGGTCTTTTAGTCTATGTTCTAACATGAAGTCCCTCATGTAGCAGTGTGTTCTAAGACATTTTCTTGCTCTGATCATATGTATTTTAAGGTACCATCTGGTTGGAGCATCATGTGCTCTCTAAGGTTCTAGGTCCTTTTTTAGGTCTCACATTCTGTATTCTAATATGCTAGGTTCAGAAGTCTTTTGCCACTTTTTCTGAGCGCCATCTTCTGAGGGAATGAGTTCCCTGCCATTGGAAGTCTTCCAGCAAAGGCTGTTTGAGCTTTCCTCTTGTATGTTATGGAAGGAGTTCTTTTACCAATCTGAGATTGGGTTTGACAGCCACTGAGGTCCCTGTTGTCTCAGATTTTGTGATTCTCTCTTTAAAAGCTTCTAAGGCACAATTCAGTTTTTTAAAAATATCCACCAAAATTTGGTGAACAAAAAAAAAGGCATTTTTAACTCTCTGAAACTATCTTGAATTGCTGAATTTGGGGAATCTGCATAAAATTCAACTACTTATCTTTTTTAAATTATATGCAGATTTACTTTTCTGAAGACCTAAATGTAATTTGTTGATTTTTTTGGGTTGTTTTGTTTTTACAAGGGGGAAAAGAGAACCCGAGATCACCTTCAGGAACCTGGTACCTTTCATGGCATATGCGGCTGGAGTTTACTCTGTGACCCTCATTTTATTCATCACATGGCTGTTAATGAAGGCAGAAATAGGTAAGGATATTATGTAAAATAAACAGACTCCTTGATCTAAGTTATGATTTACCAACTAAATAGGTTTCTTAGTAGTGTTCATTTTTCTTGCTCCTTTGCATTCAATCTCTAGTCATCTAAATGGATTCATTTTATTGTATATCTCTTGGCTGTGTATGACAAGTCCCTTATTAATGCTGTTGTGCCACAGTCCTACTTTTACTTTTACTTTTAAAGTGGTAAAGTGCCCAACAAGAGGGACAGGAGATGTGGAATTCCTAAGGGCTGCATTTTGTAATAACCAAGTCACAGAATCTGAGTTGTTGGAAGGAACCACAAGGCCCATCCTACACCTGAGAGCCCCTTTCTATACCACACTTCCCAGGCAGCGCTTTCCATAAGTTTCACTCTGATCTTGCCTTCCACCCTCTGCTTCTGGTTAGTTTTCTGGGGTCGAGCAGAACAAGGTTAATTCCTCTTTCGTGTTATAAGCCTTCAAATACTTGTCCATCAGGTAACTGGAGCCGTAGTGGATAGAGTTCTGAACTTAGGGTCAAATTCAAATCTAGCCTCAGACACTTACAAGCTACCCTGGGTGAGTCACTTGACTCTTTTGGCCCCAATGTTCACATCTGTGAAATGGGGATAATAGCCTCTCCCTCACAATGTTGTTGTGAGGATCCAGTGAGGTAATATATGTATTATATTGTATTATAATTATTATATATTATAGGTATAATATATCTATTATATATCATGTACATAATATATATCAATTCTATATTATACCTATAATATATAATAGGTATTTCATATATAATGTGTTTTGCAAACCTTAAAGCCATATGTAATGTGATGATTAAAACATTCCAAGAGACTGTTTTTTGGGTACTTTAATCATCTTATTCATAAGGCCAGAATGTTTATTAGTAAAAGGATGGACGTCTCTCTTAGACCACATGGGTTCATAGTTTGTATATGCCCTTGGAAGAGCAGGTGTTCCTGAAAGGTGGCGATTGACTCTGGTTTACAATTAATGAGAAAACAAATATTACAATGAGAGGCTGAGCTGTATTACAGTGAGGGTCTTGGGGTTCCATGACTTGGATTACCCAACTCTTGGTCAAAGAGACATCGGATTTCCATATGGCCTGTCTGACAACAGGGAGAATCCACACTTGCCAGACCTGTCTGAGCAAACACAATGAGCAGGAATACACCCATTAACCCAAAGTCAGAATTTCTTTCACTGTCTGATGCTATCTTGGCCTGGGTAAATCTTTGAGAGATTTCCTGCACTGGTTGGCTTCTGGATGAGGAAGCAGAAAAGGAGAAAATTCTTGGTCCTAATATAATTAATTATTGAATAAAAGATAGAGGTCTCATTTTTTACAGTAATTGAGAGTTATTATTAAGTGCTTGCTGTATGCCAAGGATACAAAGAAATCCCTGCCCTCAAGAAGCTTCCATTCTAAGCTAAGGGGAGGCAAAATGCAAACAACTGCGTTTATCTACTCTATAAATGGAAGGCAGTCTCCTGGGGAGGAGTGGGAAAGATTGGGGGCTAGGGTGGGGACTGGAGCTGGATCTTGGAGGAATCCAGAGAAGCTGGACTAGCTTTCCTTCCTATGTAGGTGTGATCCTACACTGATGCTTCTTCATCTCAGTATGGCTGGAACCCCAATTCTTGAAGGCTCTGACCCATCCTCCCAAGCTGGAAAAACTGGGCCCAAAGATAGACTGTACCTATTGTCAGAGGCCCCACCTCTGGGTTCCAGAGTTTGGAGAGAAGTTAATGATCTCTAGAGAGTTGGCCACCTGGGAATAATCATTTTTTGGCCACATCGCCTCCTGAAGACTAGCTACCAAAGGGGGGGGTGTGTAGAGCAGGGGTGAGAGGGGGAGAAATAGTCTTGCCAATAAAATCACATCCTTTGTGTGAATGAGGATAACAGATATGTGAATGAGGATGTTGTTTTTGAGTGAATTCTGCTATGCTGAGGAAATAATGCTGGGTACTTTGCCTAGCATGATGGATCTCCTTGGTTCTGAGCAAGTTGGTAGGCTCTCTAACCCATCTGGACGGGCAGTGGAATGGTTTAATAAACATAGAAATGAGATACTTTTTTTTCATTGCTCTCTCTCACCCTCTCTCCCTCCCTCCCCCCTCCCCCGCCCCATATCCAATTTGTTTCCCCAGCCTGTCATTTATCTTTGTAATGTCTCTTGCATTTGTCTTCTTCATTCCTCTAACTTTGCCACCCTCTGATGCAGGCCCTTCACCTCACACTATGATTCTAGCAAGAGCTGCTAACGGGTCTGCCTGCCTCAAGCCTCCCTGCCCCACCCCCAAGTACATCCTCCATTCAACCACCGAAGTGCTTTTCCTATAGCAGAAGTCAGAGAGTGTTGCTCCCCTACTCAATAAACTCCAGTATCTCCTTATCACCTCCAGGAGCCAATACAGAATGCTCGGGCTTTTAAAGCCCTTTCCTACCTTTCCCGTCTTTTTATTCTTACTCCTGCCTCCCCATCCCCACCCCCATACTCTGCAATCCAGCCAGACATCAACCCCACTGCTCCTCAAACACATGCTCTACCTCCCTACTCTTTATTTTCAGTGGTTGTCCCTCCTGCCCAGAACTCCCTCCTCATTACCACCTGCTGGCTTCCTCAGCTTCCTTCCGGCTAAAATCCCACCTATTATAATAAACCTTCCCTAATACCCCTTAGTGTTAGTGCCTTCCTTCTGTTGATTATCTCCAACTTACCTGTGTATATGGGCTGTCCCGAACGTCTTAGTGTTGTTTTAGGCCAGTAAGACTTAAAACGGCACTAAGATTTTTGGGACAGCCTGTATCTGGCTTGTACACAGCCGTTCGCACCTTGTGTATCATGGTAGACTGTGAGCTCCTCTGATGTGTTTCTTTGTATCCCCAGCACTTAGCATGGTGCCTGGCTCATGGTAGGTGCTTAATGTTGATCGACTTTATTTCTTCCTTCAATTATTTTTGTTTATGGGGGCAGCTAGGGGACGCAGTGGATAGAGCACCGGCCTTGAAGTCAGGAGGACCTGAGTTCAAATCTGACCTCAGACCAAACACTTGATACTCACTAGCTGTGTGACCCTGGGCAAGTCACATAACCCCAATTGCCTAAAAAAAAAAATTAGTTTTGTTTATGAGAAATAGATTATACATTCGATAGTGAGCCAGGCTCAGAACCACACAGATTTGCATTCTAGCCCAGCCTCTGACCATATCAGTGGTATGACCTTGGGCAAGTCACTTCCTTGCTTAATACTCTAAGCAGCTTTCTAAGAATAGATGAGGTGCCTCCCTGCTTTGGTAGAGCGAGTTTCCTTACCTGAGATGACCATTTGCCAATGAAATCACAGGTTCTCATTCTTTGTACCGAGTTTGCATGTTGCTTTTCCCTGAGGAATCAAAGATCTTTGAGGACAGAGACAGCTTCACTTTGCCCATCGATTGCCATCACCAAGGAAGCTCTTGTCCTGCAGAAGGCACAGGATGCCAGCTTAGTGATTGAGGACTGAATTGAATTAAACCATAGCCTCTGGTCATCCGTTGCTTCATTCTCTTCCTTGAACACAGAAGAGGTTCCTAGCTGATACTGGAAGTTCAATGTCCACTTGTTGATTTTGTGACTTTTATATGTCTTCCTGTTTATGTAGTCTGATGTCACTCACACAGATCAAAGAAACCTTACAAAACTTAAAAAATAAATCTCTCCAGTGGGAGCTCTGCACAGCATCTCAAAATGTGGAATCTAAATTTGTGATTATAAATTTAAATTTATATCCTCTCTTTTCAACCATTTGGCAAACAACACCAAGAGAATGCTATGGGTAATAGTTTCCCTAGATTTTAGCAAAGAGTTTGACAAAGTGTCCTCATGTGAGCAAGATGGAGAGATGGGGCTAGAACGTGGTAGAGTTAGGTGGATTTGAAATTGGGTGAGTGACCAGGTCAAAGAGTGGCATTGAATATTCCATGTCATCTTGAATAGGAGTCTCTAATAGAGAGCCTCAGGGATCTGTCCCTAGTTCAGTGTTGTTTAACATTTTTTTGTCAACATCTTTGGGGGCATCTAGGTGGCACAGTGGATAGAGTACCAGCTCTGGAGTCAGGAGGACCTGAGTTCAAATCCAGCCTCAGACATTTACTAGCTGTGTCATCCTGGGCAGGTCACTTCACCCTGTTTGCATCAGTTTCCTCATCTGTAAAATGAGCTGGAGAGGGAAATGGCAAACCGCTCCAGGATCTTTGCCAAGAAAACTCCAGATGGGGTCACTGAAACAACCTAACAACAGCGACAACATTGTCTTGAATGAAGTGTTTGATGGAGTTTGCTGACGACACGAACCTGGGAAGAATCACTGAGACGGCAGGTGACAGGCAGGCTGCAAAGCTGTTGACAGGCTAGAGTAGTAAGCCCCTACTTTTTTGATCGTGCACCCCTATCAGCAATTTTTTTCTGTTGGGTATACTGGGGAGAGTAGGGGATTTGCTGTTTCTGTGGGTGTCCAGGTCAGCGTTAGGCTACACCTGCCCTCAGGGGCTGATGAAAAGGAGGAAGGTTGGGAGCTTTGCACCAGTCAGGACAGGGTGGAGTGGATAGATGTTGGGTTGTAATGAATGAAGTGCAAGCGTGGTTGTATTAAAAATGAGCCTCAGGATTGACCATCACTGGAGTCAGTGGGAGAAGAGCCATCTCCTACCTTCAGATTCATTGATCAGGTAGCCCTCAGCAACAAGCCGTGGCCCCCTTGGGATCATGCCAGGGCACCTGCCACCTTCTTCCCCTCACTTTGGAGACCACAAGGCTAGAGCATTGAGTCAGAGATAAAAAAAACAAAACACAAGAGATAAATATAAAATCCTACAGTTGTATTTAAAAACAGTGCAAATTCATCAGTTCACCTGAAAAAAACCATGGGGGCTGTCAAGTAGACTATGAGCTCATTATGAGTCAGCAGTAGGGTATGGAAGCAAAAAAAAGAGATAGTACCATATGAAGCTGCATAGAGGCGTCTCTCCTCCCTGGGATCACGGAGGTGAGAGTACAGTTGTCCTCTGCCCTGGTCAGAGAATATCTGGAAGATTGTATTCAGTTCTAGCCACCATGCTGTGCGATGGATATTGATCAGCTTGAGAGGCAGGGTGACCAAGACTGTGCAGGGCCCTGAGAGTCGCATCAGCTGAAGGATCAGGGGCTGGTTGTTCAAGAGAGCAGAGTTTGGGGAATACGAGAGCTGTGTTCAAATCAAGTGCTTGAAAAGCTATGGGGAAGAGGAACTAGACGGTTTTTGTGTATGGCCCTGGTGGGCACAATGAGAAGCAGTGGATCGAGTTGCAGAGAGGTATATCTCAGCTCCACAGAAGGAAGCATTTCCTAACGATTTTAGCTCTTAAAGTAGAATGAGTTGCCCCTAGATTTAGTGGGTTCCCCCTCAGTGGAAATCTTCAAGCAGATGGCTGGAGAGTCACTTGTCAGGGATGATATAGTCCATCCACAAACATTTATTAAGTACCTACTGTGTGCCAGGCACTGTGCTAGGGATATAAGAAAGGCAAAAACAATCCCTGACCTCAAGAACCTCACAATCTAAAGGGTTAGACGGCTAGGTGGCATGGTGGCTAGAACACTGAGCCCGGAGGTGGGAAGGCCTGAATTCAAATGCAGCCCCCCACACTCACTAGCTGGGTGACCCTGGGCATGCCACTTATACCTCTGTTTGTCTCAGTTTCCTCAACTATAAAATGGGAATAATTGCACCTACTCTGCAGGGCTGTTGTGAGGATCAAACGAGATAGTGTTACAAAGAAAAAAAAAGCAGCACAATGCTGGCGTAGTAGGCGTTGTGCAAATGATTATTCACTTCCCTTCCCTAATGGGTAGAGTACTGGCCTTGGAATTAAGAAGATTCCTGCTTAAATCCTGCCTCTTAATCTAGCAGGGTATCCCTGGGCAAGTCATGAGATCATAGCTTTTGAGCTGGAAGAGTCCAGAGTGGTCTGTGCTTGAACCTTCTCATTTTACAGATGAAGAAACTGAGTCTTACAAAAGTTAAGTGACTTGCTTAAAGCTGCACAGTACTAAGTGATAGAAGCAGGTTTAGAACTCAGGTCTCCTGACTCTTTGGAATGAGTATTTTTACCACTGTGCACTGCTGCCTCTCTTGATCTCTGGTTGGTTTTTTTTTTGGCCTGGAAAATGGGAATAATAATGTCTGTGGTCCTAGATCAGAGTTGTTGGGAGGCTTGAGTAAAATATTGCATAAAATAAATCACCTGTTGTATTAAATTAAAAGGGTCATAAAGTGGGATTGTTGCTATGTTTTTCCATTGAAGTCACTATTGTTATCAGTGTTTTCAAGAGCGCTATTAATTTAACATGATTCCCATTGCTTGAATACATTTGTTTTCATTGTGTCAATTTGAGAAACCAGCATGAACTGAGATTGACATCTCAAGGTGCTTCTAGGATTTCCCTGGAATGATGTCACTAGGCTTGGTAAATGACCACATCTGCTATTTAAAAAGCAAAGCCAGTCCCTGGTAGTGTCCTCCAGCATCACCACGTGTTTTTCATTGCAGAAGTTTGCAAGAAGGGAGTTGTAACTGTGAGTCCCGCCCGGACAGTTTTGTTTGGATCCACCATCAACATTTCATGCTCTTTGAAACCCAAAGAAGGCTGTTCACACCCTTCTAATTTCCAAAAGTTAACCTTCTACCAAAATCGACTTCGGGTTCACTCCCAGAAGAGCCACTTACTCACCATGCAAGTCTCCAATCTCCGCCTTGGAACAACTGTGTTTGTGTGCAAGGTCTCGTGTGGCGGCCACGTGGAGAGCCAAGTGTGCGGGGCCGACATCTCTGTTGGCGGTAGGCAGACTTTTTTCATCCTAATGCTTTCATGGACTTTTGGCACTTCAACTGGGATAAACAGAGATCAGAATAGCAGAAAACTGCATTTTTCATGTATCCCAGTATTGGGAATGCTAGCATCTCAAGCCTGGCCTATAGACACAGACACAAAAAAACGTTCAAATGGGAAGCCCATACATATAGGGAAGTATAATTAGGGAAGGGGGTGTCTTGGTCTGGGAAGTCACTGGGATGTGAATGGAGTCAGGACAATGCAGCCTTAGTGCTTAAATCTTTAGGCAATTTGGAGGGCTTCATATCCCTAGTGTGGTTCCCAGAACACATCAGGCATGCAGTAAATGCTTGTCGACTGGCTAGGACAAGTTGTCTCTCTGTAAAATAAGGGATGGCACAACATGACCTCTCTGGCGTCTTCCAGCTCTAAATCTAAAACTGGATAAGCCTCTCTGATTGGTCTGCCATGATGACTATCATATGCCGTTGCTGTTAGGTTTTCTGCTGCTTTGGAGGCAGGGCAGGAAGTACAGAACCAGATTTCACTTGTGTCAGGAACTCTCGGGGAAGAAACCCCATTGACTGGTGCAAATTGGTAGCTCTTCTGCAACTTCTGAGAGTCATCATGGACTGAAAGCTCCTTCTCAGGGTCATGTGGCCAGTAGTGTTGAAGGCAGGTCCAGAGCCCAGTTTGCCTGACTCTGAGGCCATTTTCCCATCTATGAAGCCACATTGCGCCTTTCCTCTCTTAGAATCGCAGCCTTTGTCCTGGTCCCCACTTTGTCACCTAAGCAGTCACTGGAGTATTCCCAGCTGTTTGAGGTTGGCAGCCAGTGGCAAATTGGTCAACAAGGATTTATTAAATGCCTCCTATTTTCCAGAAACTGTGCTAAAACCTGGGGATACAAACACAAACAAATAAAATAAAAGAGCAAAAACTATCCCTGCTTTTGGAGCTTAATTTTTTTTTTAATCTTTAGGCAATTGGGGTTAAGTGACTTGCCCAGGGTCACACAGCTAGCAAGTGTCAAGTGTTTGGTCTGAGGCCGGATTTGAACTCAGGTCCTCCTGACTTCAGGGCCGGTGCTCTATCCACTGTGTTACCTAGCTGCCCCTCGGAGCTTAAATTCTAATGGAGAAGGTGAGATATACAGAAATAGGTACAGACAGAGTGGATGGAAAGTGACCTTGGACAGGAAAGCAGAAGCAGCTGAGGGGACTGGAAGCTGTCTTGTTCTTCTTCGTCCCCTCTCCCTCCTCCTTTTCTGTTCCCTTCCCTCTTCCTCTTCTTCCTCTTCCTTTTCCTCCTCTTCTTCCTTCTCCTCTTCTTCCTCTTCTCTCTCACTTGTTCTCAACTTTTTTCTTTTCTTTTCTTTTTTTGTGCACCCAGGGTCACACAGCTACTAAGTGTCTGGGGCCAGATTTGAACTCAGGTCCTCCTGACTCCAGGGTCAGTGCTCTTTTTCTCTTCTTCCCATTGAGAAAGGAAAAAAAGAAGATGGACCAAACCCTTATAATGATAGCCAGCCAAAACCCCTTTCCACATTGGCTGTGTCCAAACACATATGTCTCATTTGTCATATTCTGCCTCTATTGGGAAGCATGCTTCATTGTCAATACTCTGATGACGTTGATCATTGCCTGATCAGAGCTCTTTAAGTCTTTCAGAAGTTGCTCAGCTTTGTGAAGCTGTTGTCTTACAAACGCCTCTCCTGGTGCTGCTCCCATCAGTTCATCCAGGTCTTCCCAGGTTTCCCTTTCATCATGTCTTATAGCACAATAATATTTATGTATCATAATGTGTTCAGCCATTCCCTAATGGGCACTCCCTTGGCTTCCAACTCTTTGCCACCACCTAAAAAAAGCTGGTGTTTGATATGCGTTTTCAAGAAAGCCAGAGTTTTTGCCCACATACTTGTCTGTATCCACACAACCATGTACTATTCTTCATTAGTGTTTACCATGATGGACTTCATGTGGGCTGGGTCACCGGTGCAAGTCATGGGCTCCTGCAGGGAGAGGTGACTATAGAGACAAATCGTGTGTGTGTGTGTGTGTGTGTGTGTGTGTGTGTGTGTGTGTGTGTGTGTGTGTGTGTGTGTGTGTGTAACACCCAAGAGATGTTATAGGCTGTTACTCTGAACCTAGACAGTCGTTCCAGGAAAAGTCACAGTAATAGCTGTTGAGCCCGCCTGCCTCAGTCTCTCCCCATTCCAGTCCATCCTCCATTTAGCCACCAAAGAGATTTTCCTCAAGCACAGATCTGATCATGTCACTTCCTTACTCAATAACCTTCGGGGTTCCCTGTCACCTCCAAGATTAAATATAAACCGTTTGGCATTCAAAGCCTTACATAACCCAGCCCCCTCCTCCCTTTCCAGTCTTCTTACACCCTAGTGCCCACCACGTGCTCTCTGATTCGAGGACCCCTGCCTCCTGGCTGCTTCACTAACAAGACCCTCCATCTCTCAGCTCTGGGCATTCTCTCTGTCTGTGCCCAGGCCTGGGACACACTCCCTTCTCACTTCTAACTACTGGTTTCCTCCAAGTCTCAACTCCAGTCTTCTACAGGAAGCCTTTCCCAACCCCTCTTAATTCTAGTGCTTTTCCTCTGTTAATTATTTCCAAATTATGTTGTCTCCCCCCATTAGACTGTGAGCCCCTTGAGGGCACAGACTGGTTTTTGCCTCTGTTTGCTTAGCACGGCAGGGCCCCTACCATGTAGGAGCACCCAGTAAAGGTCTGACTGACAGGGAGCTTAATTTCTCTCGATGTAGTAATGCCGACCCCCTCCTTGGTAGGGGAGCACATAAGCTCTTCTTTCTGAATGACTCCTGGCCATGATGTCATCAGTAAAGTGGAGTGTTCCATGGGCGTTCTGAAGCCGCAGTCGGGTTCTGAGTGTTCTTTACCACAAGTCTGAGTAACCTCGACACTTAGCAGGCAGAGCTCCCCGGGGCAGCCGTCTGCAAGACGCTTCTCCCCTCCTTCCAGTGATTGGGTTGCTCCTGTTTGAATTGTAACCAAGTACTCATGTTCTTTCTGGGCTTAATGGAGGATTAGTGGCCAGTTATCTCCCCTGTGGGAAACCCAAAGTCCATTAGAACCTTAAGTAACTACAGGGTAGTTTTATGTCTGTTGTCTCATTTACTCAAACCGTTCTCTCCATTGGGAGTAAGGATCTTCCTATACAGCCCGACTCCCTAGCTCCCTACACATGGTCTCTCTCTCTGCCCAGTGGACTTCGGGTTCTTTGCTTTCTTTTAAACACGGACCCTTCTGTCTATCTGGTGAAGCCTATGGCTCCCTTCTCAGAAAAATGTTTCTCAGTTTGCATAAGATAAAATACAGAGGATTACAAAGGTCACCCATTATACTGAATATAAAAGCACAAATTCACAGACCCAAATTTAGGAAAGTATCGAGTAGAGGAATGAGGCTACATACGAGATGTCTTATTCCAGGAAGTCCCTTCTTAGAGATAGAATGGAGAAGGAACACCGCATCTGGGGCAGGAGACCCCTGAATCATGGCCATAGGACTTTGGGCAAGTCTTCACTTTTTCAGACCTCAGTTTCTTCATCTTTAAAATGGGTGGGTAGATGGGGTTTCTCACACTAGACGACTTCAAAGATCCCTTCCAGGCCTAAGTTTCTGCTCCCACAAATCTTGTCTGGGCCAGTGGTCACTATTCTTGTGCCTGCTAAAGAGGCGCAAGGCATTCTCACGGCTAGTACTTGTAGTTTGGGGCTTTGAAGAGCAGATCTGTGGCTGGGTTGTGGCTTTGTGCCCATCAGACTTGTCGCTATCATGAGGACATGAGGAAGGAAGCACCTGCAGAGGGTTAACGAGCTCCTGGCTGCTTTCCCAATCTTCTTAGGGTAGGGACTAAGTAAGAAAATGATTTGCATGCACGTGTTTATGCCTCTAGAACAAGAGTGAGAAGCAAGTGGGCAGGAGGGGGACCTGGCACAGCGATAGAAAGGTGTGGGTTTCTCTTTCATCTCGCCATCTTTACAGGAAACAGTCCATTTCCCATGTTTGCCCAGGCTGTGCCAGACCCTGGAACAGTCTCCCTATCACTGCTTTCTGTTGGATTGGGTGACCCTGGGGTCTTTCCATCAAGATTCTGGTCCTCTGACCACAGGTCACAGAGCAGAATTTGGTCTTCATTGGCCCAAGGATGGCTTCCTCATTTAATGTCAATGACATCATGTGTCTGGCCTTCAGCAGCTGAATAATTGCATGTTATTGAGTTAAATATTAACTGGACAATGCTGACCAAGGGATTTGAAAAAAATAAGATAATAATTGCAAAGTTGTTTGCCCCATGCCTGGCCCATGGTAAGTGCTACACAAATGTTAGCCGTTGTTATTGTTATCAATGTATGCCACTGTTTCAGTAAGACTCAGATGTACTTATTAGCCCTCCATTTTTTCTTTGCCTTCTTTTCCTGTAAAGTCACTCCAGAGCAGCCCCAAAACCTCTCCTGTAGCCAGCTTGGAGAGCATGGGAACGTGGTCTGCACCTGGAATAAAGGAAGAGACACCCACCTGTACACCGTGCACATTCTGCAGTAAGTGATGCGGTCCCTGACTGATTTGCTTTTCACTGAACAGAAGGAGTTTTAGGACGTCCCTAAGGAATGCTGCCTCACTTAAACCCAGTTCACAAACAAGTCAAGACATCACTTGTGATGTCACTGGTCCTCTTTGAAAATGAAGGACGGGGCAGTGGATAGAGCGCTGGCCCTGGAATCAGGAGAACCTGAGTTCAAATTTGACCTCAGACACTTGACACTTACTAGCTGTGTGACCCTGGGCAAATCACTTGACCCCGATTGTCTCACCAAAAAAAAAAAAAGAACAAACAAGGAATGGTGAAAAGAACTCTGATCCTGGAGTCCAAAGACCTGGCTTCAAATCCTGCCACTGATGCTTACTGCATGGGGGACCTCAGCCAAGTCCTTTTGCCTCTTCGGGTCTCAGTTTCCTCCTATGTAAAATGAGGAGGCTGAACTCAGTGGCCTCTGAGAGTCACTTCTAGTTATCTGTTAATACTCCTACAACAACTGAGATCCCCCAATCATGTGGGACAGGGCTAGGGCTCACACCTGGGTCTCCTGCCTTCCAGTACTCGATCTCAGGCTTGTAAACACAATGGATAGTCGCCTTCTTTTGTTCTCTTCCTGAAGACTCCTCCTCAGAATACCTCCTTGCGTCTCCTGCCGGACACCCTTCACCCAAGTCCTCCCAGATGGAAAGGGGAGCAGAGTGTGCTCCTTCCTTTTTGGTTTCTGTTTTCAATCTCCTTCACTAAATCCTAGAGAGAGCGCCAGAAGGGCACCTCCAAGACCACCTAGTTCAGCCTCCTCATAGCAGCAGCAGCAGCAGCAGCAGCAGCAGTAGCAGCAGTAAGAGCTCAGCTCTTCGTCTTGCGCCCTTCAGGAGGCTGAAGCTCTCAGACTCTCAGAAGAGCTTCGGGTTTTCTTGCCACTTCTGGATACCTTCAAAGAACTCTCGGGGCACCTCAGTAATGTTCCAACTGCCTAAGCATTGCAGAGCTGAAGCCAAGTCTCTGGGTGGCCTTCACCATAGCCGGGGCAAAGGCTTCTCTCTGCTCCGGCTTTTCTCTGACAGCTCCAATCACTTTCTTCAGGTTCTGAATCCTTAGCTCTTCCAACCAGTCTGCTTCTGACTGAAGTGCTGTTCCCATCTCGGGTACTGACCCAGTCCTGAGCATAGCCAGGGCTTCTCTCTCCTCATAAAGAACTGCAGCAGCAGTAGGGGTTTTTTCCCCCCACCTGAATACATTTATTTACACCTTATTTACAGCCAAATCTCACAGAAGAATATGAACATTTGCTCTTCTAATACACTTTTATCTAGCTTCATTTTATTAAAAAAAAACCCCATTCTTTCAACAACAAATACTTATATGGCACTTTATAACCTTCTTCTCCAAGACCCTCGTTAAGTAGGCAGATATACATTACTCCCATTTACCGAATAAGGAACCTAAGGCACAGAGAAGTTAAAATGACCTCCTCTGATAAGTGTCAGAGGGAGGATTTGAACCCAGGCTTTCTGACTCTAAGTCCAAGGCTTTATCTACCACATCACAGTCAAAGGGAATAAACGTTGTTGTTGAGGACTCTGTCCCTAGGATGAGAAGCCACAGCCATTTCGTGGAATCCAATCACTGGTTTAAATATTTTCTCAAGTGAGAACAAACCTGAACTATAGGGATGTCAAAACCACTCCAGCAAAGATGGGGAGGCCCGAAGCCTGGTAGGTGAAGAGGATCCTTTTCAGGATTGTAGATTGGTAGAGTTGAAAGTTCCCAAATGTCATCAGATTTGGAAGCCTCTGAAAATTCTTGCTGCATAAATTCAGAATAGGTACTGGCAGCAGAATGAATCTGGAAGTTTCTCTGCAGTAGGGATGGCTGAGAAGATCCTTCGTCCAAGTCAGTGGTTCTGTTGTGTTCCCACTGGCTGGTATGCCAGAATGACCTGAGAACTTTGCCTGCCATTTTGAATCCCAGGCCTTCTAAGTACACCGCCATGACACATTTCCACTCTCCGTTGGCTCTGCTTTAGATCTCTCCCCTGCTTTGCTTTTTCTTGTTCTAGACGGTGCACTGTCCATCACGCATTCCATCGATGTCTGCCCATTTGCCACAAAGTCCTTCAAATTTCTCGTTCAGTTTGTGCTGTCAATTCCTCTTCCAGCTTAAGTGTTTTGGACCTTGGCTACTGCAATAGCAGCCTCAGCAGCAATAGCTGGCATTTGTATTTTGCTTTTTGAAGGGTTTCAAAGCACTTTACAAATATCTATTTTGTTTAATCCTTATAACTCTGGAAGGGAGGTAGATGCTACTGTTTTTTCTAGCTTTCTTTTTTTTAATTTTTGTTTTAAACATTTTTGTTTAAAGTTTTGAGTTTCAAATTCTGTCTCTCCATCCCTCCTTTCCCTCCCCCCTCCCTGAGACAGTAAGCAATCAGATGTAGGTTATACATGTGTAATTATGTAAAGCATTTTCATATTAGTCGTTTTGTACAAGGAGACTTAGATAAAAGAAAAAAAAAGAAAGTAAAAAATAGCCTGCTTCAGTCTATATTCAGTCATTATCAGTTCTGTCTCTGGAGGCAGATTGCATTTTTCATCATGAGTCCTTTGGGATTGTTGAGAAAGAGCGAAGTCATTCACGGTTCTGCACTGCACAGTACCTCTGTTACTGTGTACGATGTCCCCCTTGTTCTCTTCACTTTATTCGACATCGGTTCATGGAAGTCTTCCCTGGTTTTCCTGAAATCATCCTGCTTGTCATTTCTTATAGCACAATTATATTACATTACAATCGTATACCACAACTTATTCAGCCATTCCCCAAGTGATGGGCATCCCCTTGATTGACAATTCTTAGCCATCACAAAAAGAGCTGCTGCAAATATTTTGATACAAATAGGTCCTTTATCCTTTTTGGGATATCTTTGGGATATAGACCTAAGGTAGATGCTATTATTTTTCCCATTTTCACAGATAAGTAAACTGAAGCAGAGGTAGAAGTGACTTGCCCAGGGTCCCACAGCTAGTAAGTGTCTGAGGCAGGATTTGAACTCAGATCTTCCTGACTCCATTTAACTGCCTCCAGATAAATCATTTCAACTATCTGAGCCTCAGTACCCTCATCTGTAAAATGAGGGGGTTGGATTACATGATCTCAAAGGTTCTTTTTGATCCTACATTATCTTGTTATCCCCTCAAGCTCTCTGAATCTCAATTTTCTCCTCTGTAAAATGGGGATAGTAAAACTGACAATACTTCACAAGTTTATTGCAAGGAAAGTGATTTGAAAACTTGAAGCTCTGTACTTTAATCCAGGAAGACACAGATTAAAATCCTGTCTCTGACACTTTCTAGCTGTAGGACTCTGGACATGTCCCTTAACCTCTGTTTGCCTCAGTTTCCTCATCTGTAGAATGACGGGGTGGCCTTTGAGGGCCCTTTCAACCCTAGACTTGTGATGTGACAAGTCAGGCTCCAGGGTCTCAGTTTCCTCATTTGAGGAGTAGACGAGATTGCCCCTGAAGTCCTTCCTAGCTCTCTAGACCTCTATGATCCCATGACTTTTAAGTGCTATGGAAACGTAAATTATAGTGGTAGTGGTCAAGGTAATAGCAGTGGTAGTAGTAGAAGTAGTGGTAGGAATGGTACTTGTGGTATTAGTAGGTGGTAGTGTTAGCAGTGGTGGTAGCAGTGGTATTAGTATTAGTGGTATTAGTGGTGGTAGTAGTAGCGGTAGTTCAGCTGGAAGAGAATTCAGAGATCACCTGGCCTATCCCCCTCATTTTGCAGGTGAGGAAACTGAGCCGCACAGGGTCACCCCACTGGGAAGTGTCTGAGGAAGGGTTAGAACCTGGTTTTCCCAGGTCTGGCCTTGGGGTCCTGTGATTTACGGCACTGACACGTCTTTTCTTCACAGGCTGACAGGGCCAAACAATTTGGATTTGGAGAAACAACGTGCTCCGTATGGGGATGATTTAGATCTTGGAATAAGCCTGAGCCCAGCTTCTCCTGAAGCCAATTACACAGCCAAAGTTGTTGCTTCGAACAGCCTCGGGAATTCTTCTTCCCTCCCTTTGGTGTTCTCCTTCATGGACATAGGTGGGTATCTTTTGGCCGCCATCTTGGCTGCTCACCTGTTGCTCTGCACTTGCCACTTTCGGCTGTTAGCTGTTTTCCCCTGTGCCTCCCAGATGAGCGCCCCAAGAGGACGGGATAGCTTCTCGAGGAGCAAGGCTGGCTTTATGCACCAAGTACCATGCCTTGCACATAGTAGGAGCTCAGTAAGGTAACAAATATTTATTGATGGGTGCTTTGTCCGGGCTGCCTCCCTTGGACCTGGAAGTCTTCCCGATTTATCTCTTGGAACCCCAGACTTTACACAACACTCCACTCGTGCAAAATGCTCATGGGAAGCCTCACTGACCCCGCAACTCCCTAATACTCTCTACTTCTTCAAATATACATGTCTCTACTTAACTGTGTGTTGTCTCCTGCTGGGTATTATGTCAGCTCCTTGAGAGCAGGTCCGGTTTTGTTTTCACCTCTGTGTGACCAGTGACTAGTACCTAACACATGTTATCAATTCAGTTCAGTTCAATTCAAGGACTTCTTACTGAGCACCCACTTTGGACCAGACACTGGACCAGGCTTTAGAGCTATAAAGACAGAACCATGAGGCAGCTAGGTGGCACGGTGGATAGAGCACTGGCCCTGGAGTCAGGAGGACCTGGGTTCAAATCTGGCCTCAGACACATGATACTTCCAAGCTGTGTGACTCTGGGCAAATCACTTAACCCCAATTGCCTCACTAAAAAAAAAAAAAAGACAGAACCAGAAGACTCTCTGCCCTGTAAATGACTTTACATTCTACTAAATGTTTGTTGGATTCGATTGATAGAATGCCTGATCTTGGGGTGTGAGAGGTGATTATATCATTTAGCACCTGAGGATTTCAGGAAATAGTCCTGTTTTTGGTGCTCACGTTCCTCGGTGGCAGCCTGCCCGTTCCATCCTTCACCCCTGCTGCTGCCTCCCAACTTCTTTCTTTTTATTTCTAGCCCTTCCCCCACCAGAGGTCCTGTGTTTGTTATTCTATGGCACTACCTCCTCTTTCTTTCTCCTCCTCTTTTGTCTCTTCTGTGTTCTTTCCAGCCTAGCAGGTCATTTCTCCCACATAATCTATATTTCATTGAATTAATGCCTTTAAATTAAAAAAAAAGTTCAGACTAGTGGTTTCACCAATATAGGGAACTTCCAATGTGGAAGCTCCCTCTGCCTAGGAAGATTAGCCTTTTTAAAAAATTGAGAGTTCCAGAGGATCTAGACAGAATTCCAATGACTTAACTACGTTCAGACCTCCATTTTGTATCTGAACTCAGGCCTTTGAGGATCCAAGTTCTTTATCTGCTGAAGAAATGAAAATTAGTGAATTAAATGAAATCATCACCAGGGCTGATGGTAGTCATTGCCTAATTGGTAAAAGTCAGGAGTGGGTTACGGGGGGGGGGGGGGGGAGACCATCTGTGCTGCCTAGCAACTCACATCATTTTCTCTCTCCCACCACAAATGGGACTTCACCAAATGAAGTTAATTGTACTCATGGGAAACAAGTTTTGTAGTGTTGGTTACACCTCAGATACCCTGGTGGTGATCCCTGGAGCTGCTGGCTAATCCCTTTTCTGTTTGTCTCCTTGACTAGTGAAGCCTCTTCCTCCGAGTGACATCAGAGCCGACTTTCCCAATTTGTCGGCCAACCTGTGTACCTTACAGTGGCAGGACCAAGGACCAGCGGTGCTAAATCGCCTCCAGTTCCGGCCAGTCCATGAAAATGCCTGGAAAACGGTAATCTTTCCATGATGGGGAGAAGCGGATGGGATCGGGGCCTCACTTTTCCTTCAAGTATGTGATATTTGTGGTGGGAAAGAGGTTCTTTATCAGATATTTTCAATATGACTACCTAACCCTTTGTCACGGCTATTCATCTCTTCCCATCTGAAAATTAGGGACCCTGAGATGATCTGAGCAAAAGGATACACATCTGAGTCATTCCTGAAAGTCCTGTGTGGTTCTGTTTCTTCGTAAATGTCGTAGACTTCAGTCAATGATATTAATTGTTCTTTTTGTTTTTACATCCCTGATGGCCAAAATAATCATTCGTATTTAATAATGATAATAATAATGATATTTGTATAGCTCTTTAAGGTTTGCAAAGTGCTTTACAGATTTGATCTCATTTTATCCTTACAACAACCCTGGGGAAAGAGATGCTTTTATTATCCCCATTTTACAGAGGAAGAAACTGAGGCCCCGATGCTTAAGGGACTTGCCTATCTAGTAAGTGTCAGAGGTAGGGTTTGAGCTTTGATCTTTCCAGTTCCAAACTCCAAGTCCTACACTCTCGCCACTCCTGTGTCAGAGGAGACAATATGTGTAAAGCATGTAGCCTAGTACCTGGCACATAGTAGCGGTTCAATAAATGCTTGTTGAATCAAATGACTTACGCTGTTTTCCCCAAGTGATTATTTTTTTCGGAGGCTGCATCAAGGTGACCAGATTTATGGCTTATATCTCTGAAAACAAGTGAAATTTGCTGCTTCAGCACAGGCCTCAGCTTTGTCTTTAAAGAGAATTGGCAATTCAAGTCAGTTCAGTTTATTGGGCTCTTATTAAGTATCTCCTATATCCCCAGGCACCGTTCATGGCACTGCAGTTAAGGGAGCAAGGGGTGAATCTATCCTTGTCCTTAGGAAGCTTGTATTCTCTCACGGGGCATGGAGACATGTGATTTTCCTAAACAAGCTTCTGGTCTTGCCACTGTCCTACTCAACAAATTGCTGGAGGTGGCGAAAGCCACGTCCACGCTGGACCCAACCTAGCCTTGGGGCATTATAGTATATTCCCTCTGTTGTCCACTTCCCCAGACCTTCCTTTCCTCCTCCATGAATTGCTACTGCTTAGCATGGCTGTCCCCAAGCCTATGACACATTCCTTCCACACCTCTCACAGTCCCTTGATAAGTAAGCAGAGACCTGTGGAGATGAACTGTGAATTGCTGAAGGTCACCCATCCAGCTAAGGGCAGCATTAGGATTGGAACCCCAATATTTCAAACCCCTCCTTTGACCCTGACCTCTCCTTCACACGACCGGAAGATTTATCTTGCTGAGCAGTGAAGGGTCGTGACACGTCATGGGTCAAAAGCGTCTGAAGTCTGCTCGGGAAAGAGAGGAGGGAAGAGAGTGGACGAGTGGAAGACACTGACAGGTCAAAAAGGCAAGAGGGCGATGAGTGTCTGAAATGGGATCGAAGGCGAGAAGAAAGACTGGTGAGCAGAAGCTCAAAGCTGGCTTTCTGTTTCCACTTTTCTCATGGATGAGAGCTGCTCCTATCAGTCCTCTTCAGACCTACTCCACTTGAATCACACTGAACCGCTGGTCTGCATTCAAATCCTGGACAAGACATCTTTTTCTGAATCAATAGCTTTATTTACATGATTCCCCATGCCTAGAAGGTCTCCTACCGACATACCATGTCCTCTGGGAGAACCTTCCCCGCCCCCTATAATGGCGGCAATGGTGATAACTAGCATTTAAATAATGTTTTAAGGTTTGCAAAGCACTCTGCAATTATTATCTTATTTGATCCTCACAACAGCCCTGAGAAGCATTTTTACAGATGAAGAAACTGAGGCAGAGGTTAGGCAGCTTGCCCAGGGTCACTGGTTAGTGTCTGGATTTGAATTCAGGTCCAGAGCTCTATCTACTGCACTGGCCTAGATAGAAGCTTTGGTGGTATCTGACCCTTCTTACGTATTCCACGTAGCACTTTGTACCAATTGTGTATTATGTTATAGTACAGTTATTTATACATGTTGCCATATCCCTCCCCTACATCTCTGCCTTGTGGGCAGGCATAGTTGTCTAAACTCTGTTCATCCTCCAGGATCTAAGAGAGCACTCCGCATATCACATGAACTTCTCAAGTAGAGATTGTTCCATTCTTTGTGCTCATGTCCCCGGCACCTAATTTAGTGCCCAGTATGCATTAGGAACTTAATAAATGCTTACCAATTGACAGATAGTTGGTGCTTAATAAATGGTCATGCAAATGAAAACTCAGAGCAAAGTGGTCAGAAATCCGGATTAACCAATGTTATTGTGATTTCTTTTCATAGAATCAGAAATGGAAGGTAGCTTGAAAGACCATTAGCTAACTACTTATTGTTCTCACATGAACTTTTTGTTTGTATCGTCTGGTTCAAGGTTCACATCACTAACTCTGGAGGAAGATATGATCTGTACAACCTGAAACCATTTACAGAGTATGAATTTCAGATTTCCTCCAAGCTGCATTCTGTCAAAGGAAGATGGAGTGACTGGAGCAAGTTACTGAGGACTCAGACTCCGAAAGAAGGTATCACACACACACACACACACACACACACACACACACACACAAATTCTCATTACTGTAAATTTGAGGGGAAAAAATACCACTGCCTTTTACTAATCTCCTGTTGAAATAGAACATTTCCTTCAGTTATTTAAAATCATTATTCTGAGAATGGGCCTATAACAAGGAGATCCATGATACCTTGCCCTAGAGGCAGTGTAGAATCATGGAGGACTCTTGGGCATCCAGCTGCCTGAAACCCTCCTGATCAATTAGCCTGAGACACAAGGGGTTTTTTTTTCCCATGGTGTCCTCATTTTCATTAGTTCTTAATCATGGGAGATCATGGAGGTGGCTTGGACTATGTTGGTTCTACTGTTTCCTCTCTTGTCCATCAGCAGACAGACTTGCAGGACTGGCTGAAGAAAAAGGCCACATCTGGCACGTTACAGGAACAATTCTGATCTTGCCATCTTTTTTAATTATTGTAGTCTTTTTTCCCTCCCACGTTTTTGAACTAATTCACCAAATATCTTATTCAATTATACCTTCCAACATTTTAATTCAGTCTACAAGGTAAACTTGAATTGTTGTTATTCAGCCATGTCCAACTCTTCATGACCCCATTTGGGGGTTTCTTGGCAAAGACAGTGGAGTGTTTTGCCATTTCCTTCTCCATCTCATTTTACAGATGAGGAAACTGAGGCAAATAGGGTTAAGTGACTTGCCCAGGGTCACACAGCTAGTGTCTGAAGCTGGATTTGAACTCAGGTTTTAATGTCTCCAGGCCCAGCAGTCTATCCACTGTGCCAGCTTACTTAATTAGTAAGAAGGATGGTAGACATCATAACCTATACTGGACTTAGAGGCAAGAGAAAACTAAGTCTGAATCCTGTCTCGGATATCTAATAGTTGTATATTGATGTATATTTTGCAGTTTCACAGATTTTATCTCATTTGATTGTCACAACAAGGAAGTAAGGTAGGAAGTAAAAAGATGATTATCCCCAGATAAAGAAACTGAGGGTCAGGGAGGGTGACCTTTCTGGAACTTACCCAAGATCACACAACTTATTTTTATTCTCTAAGAGAATAAGTTACTGGTGAATTGCCAAATCTGAATAAGTGAAGGGAATTTCCATACTGGGAGTCATCCCCACCCTTTTCCATGCAAACAGTTCAGGCCAAAAAATAATTTTAAAAAATAATTTTATAATAATGAATAAAATACTAGAAGTCAGGACTTGACTTTTCACATCCCATAACATGCTCAATGAGAGACCTGTTTGGGGGTGGGAGTTGGGGGAGAAGATTGACATTTTGAAGGCTTTCTGATATTCATGCAGAAAAATGCCTACTCCCCTAAAACATACCTCCCTTAGCAGAGTCTTCTTGGCTGACGCCCAATGTTTTCATCTTCCTTTTCTGTCTGATCTTCTTTCGGGTTGCTTAACCCCCTGGGCTGTATTCTTAGCTGCTCAGCTCTTACCTCTTACCGCTATTTTTGTCATCAGTTCCTTTCTGAAACTAGTTGATACAAGACTCAAAAGGTGTGATCCTTCTCTCTCTCTCTCTCTCTCTGTCTCACAAGGTGTGATCCTTCTCTCTCTCTCTCTCTCTCTCTCTGTCTCTCTCTCTCTCTCTCACACACACACACACACACACACACACACACACACACACACACACACACTTTCCTTTTAACCCCTTAGGCGTACATTTATTTGCCCGTTTGGGGTTTTTCAGTTGGGTTTTTTCCACCGCTAACTCACTAGTAAGGTTTCAATTCAACTTCATTCCTACGGTAACTATTATTGTACATTACACTTACGTGAAATTGAATGTTGACTTCCTTTAAAGCCCTCCAGCAGTGACTGCTTCTCAAAGGCAAATTCTGACATATCATCTCAAAATCATGACATCTCTGTAGCGGAATCATCAGCCACGGAGCCCACCCCCTTCCCAAGTATCCAGTCACCCAACCTTTGCTGGAAGAACTTTAATGAGAGGGGAATCTGGCAAGAAATAGGGTTTGGATTTGCTTGTTTGGAAGGGCTCATTACAGGTTGGCCATTCCCGAATAACATCTCCTACGTCATGAGATAGTAGATTTTAAAGTTAAATAATGTCCCAGGCAATGCAGAAATCCCTCTTCCCCTCTTTTTAAAATGTTCTTTTTCCCCATCCCATTCCACTTTGTCTTTTAAATGAGAGATTCTGTAGTCTTAGGAAATCTAATTTCCATCTCACTGTTTTTTTTCTTTTTTGAGGCAGAGGAGGCTTAACATTTTTTAGCTCTTTTCATGTTCCAAATCTCCTTGGGTCAGGAGACTTGAACCTGACTTTTGGCATTTACTTGACTCTGGGCAAGAATTTAGCTTGAGTCATCTGTCAAGTGAGGATAATACTGCCTATAGGAGCACCCTGCCTGTCAAGTCAATAAGCATTTATTAAAAGCCAACTGTGTATGTGCCAGGCATGGGGTCAAGTACTGGGAATACAGAGCAGTCAGCAAGCCCTTCACATGCATGTGTGTCTCTCCCTGCCCCTTCCCCCACCCCCTCACCCCCATTAGAATATAAGCTCCCTGAGGGCAGGGACTGTCTTTCAGTTTCTAGTTTTATCCCTGGCACTTAGAATGTGTGCTGCCTCAGGGAAGGACTATTTTTTTTTCTATTTTCTTTGTATCCCTAGAGCACAGCACAGTGCTTGGTACAAGAAGTCCAAAATAAATATATGGTGATTGACCGTGACGTGAAGTCCTGGGCTTTCGCTTCTTTATCTCACTGCTTCTTGTCCCCACCCAATTTATCATGTAAAGAGAGCGATATCCTAGAATGCTCATATTTGATCAGTAGTGAGCATTGGACTTAGAGTCAGAAGATCTGGGTTCTAATCTTGCCTCAGTGGATAGAGTGCCGAGCTTGGAGTCTGGAAGCCTCATCTTCCTAGGTTCAAATCTGGCCTCAGATACTTACTAGCTGTGTGACCCTGGGCTAGTCAGTTAACTCTGTTTGCCTCAATTTCTTCACCTGTAAAATGAGCTGGAGAAGGAAATGGCAAATCACTCCAGTATCTTTGCCAAGGAAACAGCAGATGGGTCACAAAGAGTTGGACGTGACTGAACAAAAACGAAAATATCTTGTTAGAACTAATAATCATTTTTAGAAAAAGGCACCAGCTGCTTAACTGGATAATAGTGATTCGGGTCCTGGATTTGAAGTCAAATAGAACTGAATTTGATCCTACTAGCTGTATGACCTTGGACAAGTCACTTAGCCACTATCAGACTTGAGTTCCTCATCTGCAAAATGGAGAGAAGGGAATAATATCTGCAGCATTTACCTCACATGGTTTTTATGAGAACCAAATGAAATAATTGTTCCAAGACAGCAGTAAGTCAATTCAACATTTACGAAGTGCCTACTAGGTGCGAGGTTCTCTGCTAAGCCCTGGATATACAAACAGAGAAGGAGGAAGGAAAGAAGGAGAAAGAAGGAGAAGGGGGAGGAAGGTCTCCCCTTGCTCTCAAGTGTACATGCTGCTGGCAGGAGAGGACATGTCTACAGCTCAGGGTTAGGGCCTGGGCTTGATTCCTGGCTATGCCTCTTACTGGCTGTGTAACCTCAACCATGTCACTGAGTGTCAGTTTCCTCATCTGTAAAATGATGGCATTGGGCTTGATGATGTCCAAGGTCCTCTCCAGCTCTAAATCTCTGCATCTCCGTGCAAAGCCTTTTTGGCTCTCCCTGACTGCTGGTGTCCTCCCTCTCAGCCCTTGGGGTGTATTTCCATTTTTTTATGGATTGATACAAAAATGGAGAGATGGAGAAATAGAAAAGCAGAAAGATAGATAGGTGGAGCATGTGTTAAAATCTACTGTGTGCCAGGCACGGTGCTAGGTGCTTGGGATGCAAAGGCCAGAAGATCCCTGTGGTTAAAGAGCTGATGAAGTAAAATACCGCCTGAAAGGGAGTTGGGAGGTGGGGTAAGGAGAGGGGGAGGAAGAAGGGGGAGGGCAGCCATGGTGGGGCCAGACCTGAGAGTGAGCCAGAGGGAAGCTGGCAGCATGGTGGGGACATCTGGCAATATGGCGGCCATCCTTCTGCCTCCAGAGCGTAGCCCGTAGCAGGGGCTTAATAAATACTGGTTGATTGATCCTCTGACCCTAAGTAAATGAGAGGGAATCGAAGGAGGATGAGAGCATGACAAAACGGTCTCAGCCACAAGCTTCTCGAGGTCGGGTACCTGGGCTTATCGCACCCCGTATGCTGCACTTTGGCTGTAGAAGGTACTCGGGGGATATCTCTTGGTTGACGGGAAATGACGGACTATTGTAGAATGTGGAATGTGGTGGGATAAAGCCTCTTACAGCCAGGGACTTGTTTTTCTTTGTATCTCTTTAATAATGACGATTATAATAATAGCTAACATTTATAAGGCCTACTGTGTGCTAGGCACTGTGCTAAACACTTTGCAAATATTATCTCATCTGATCCTTGCAACAACCCTAGGAAATGTAGGGGCTCTTGTTATCCCCATTTTACAGCTGAAGAAACTGAGGCAAACAGAGGTCGAGTGACTCGTCCAGGATCTGGGGCTGGATGTGAACTCCAGGCCTGGCGCTCCCTCTACTGCATGCCCATCCCTGCCCCTTACTTCTAGAGTAGTGGCTGACAGGTCCTTAATTGATGCTTTAGTTGAATCAACTCCTTGGAAGAGCCTTTAAAGCAGGAGCACCTGTCCTGTTTGGGTCACCTGCTGAGACCTCTGGATCACTTTGCAGAATCGTGTTTTAAAATGTATGAAGTGAAATACTTAAGAAGGCAAAGGAAACCAAATTATATTGAAGTGTAATTAGCAAAATATTTTATCACAACAAAGCCAGGACCCCCAGGTTATGAGTCTCCCACAGCCTGTGGTTGTGTGACCTTTCGCACGTTTATTAATGGATAGAAGATGATTTTGTTTCTAATTCTTTAAAAGCTCTGTCTGACCTGGAAGAAACAACTTATTTCTCTTCTTTTTAAACAGAACCAGTTGGAATGTTGGACGTGTGGCACATGGTGGATGACCTGGAAGGTGGCCTACGAAATATTTCTCTGTTTTGGAAGGTGAGATTGCGGTGGAAGCCGACGGTTCTGTAGAATTCTTTCACGGTATCACAAGAGCGTTGAGGCAGAGACGTCCCTGAAGTATGAATCACTCTGCTAAGATTCTTTCTCCTCCAACATCCATTTGTTGGCCTACCCAGATCACAGTCCGTTTGTAACAGTGCATCACGTGAGGCACAGGGAATGACTGGAGGTCACACAGATTTGTAGTGTCAGAGGTAAGAAGTGGAGCTGACTCTGGGGACAGCTTTCCACCCTGCTTCTCATCTGTGATAGAAATTATTCCTTAACCTTTCTGGGCCTTGGTTTCCCACTCCATAAGATGGCAGAGGTTGAGCAAGCTGATTTCAGGTTCTTTCCAGCTCTAGAACTGTGGTTCTCTTATGGTTCCTGGTGGGGGAGATAACACAGACCAAGGAGTGGGCTCTCGGGCTTCAGAATGGGTGATGGAGGTGGGGCACAGGGTCTGCCCATCCAAGATTTCCGGTGTGGGACAGACTTCCCCTTTTCTTGTAGCTACCTCTAGGTAGCAGAGGCAGTGGGCAGGGTCATTCTGGTCCTCTTATTGATTAATGAGGAATTGGGATGTTTCCCTCCAACGCCTGTGAGGACCCCTCTACCCCCCTAGTAACAGCTGTTCTTACCACTCAGCCCAGGTACTCTCTCTGCCCAATCACAACAAGGCATGCATGGGAGAGTGGAGAGCATGCTGGCTTCCCTCAGATATTTCCTCCTTTGGTGATCCTGAGGAAGTCATTTCATCTCTGTATCTCAGCTTTCTTCTCTGTAAAATGAAGGGATTGTCTCCTCTTATACCCTTCCTCTAATATGAACCAGAACACATGCCTCCCCATCCCAAACCGCACCAGGCCGTTCCCCACCCTAGTCCCCTAATTCCTTTCCACCACCCTCCTTCCCTCAGACAACCATATTCCCCTTCCCTCAGCCCCAAGCCAATCCATGGTTCTATACCCAACCAGGGCTTTCCCCTAGAGATAACGGGGCACATCAAGGGGACCCTGAGCCTAGAGTCTGAAGATCTGGGTTCAAAGATCACTTCTGAAGTGTACTGCGGGTGTGACCATCTCTCTGGCCTTCAGTTTCCTCATCTGTAAAATAAAAGAGTTGGCCTCCATGGCCTCTGAGATCACTTCCAGCTATGTCTGATCCCCTGCATTCTGTAAACTTGTCCTTTACCATACATACACCCAGCATACTTTCTTAAAAAAAATCTCACTTTTTGGGCAATCTTTTGTTTTCACACCACTTTAATTTCCAAATATATACCTCCCCCTTTCCATCTAGTCATGCTCTTTGACAAAGATTTTGTTTGTTTGTTTGTTTGTTTTTTGGTTTAGGCAGTGGGGTTAAGTGACTTGTCTAGGGTCACACAGCTAGTGAGTGTTATGTGTCTGAGGCTGGATTTGAACTCAGGTCCTCCTGAATCCAGGGCCGGTACTCTATGCACTGTGCCACCTAGCTGCCCCTTTGACAAAGATTTTAAAAGGAAGAGGAAAAAAATCAGTTCAGGAATCCAACCAATACACCAAATATATCTGACAATATGTTACAATCCGGGTCCCTCTCCCCGCCCCCTAATCATAAAGGGGAAGAACCATCCTGGACCAGAGTTCTTTCCCCACCTACGATTCTGGGGTGCTGGTATAGGGAGAGAAAAAGAGGAAGGAAGGAGAGAGACTCATCACTGTTTCTTCCCACCCACTCCCAACTGTAAGGAGATGGGTCGCCTGTCCTGCTCTCCAGCCGTACCCCAAGCTCAGGGCTCCTTTAAAGAGGGCCCGGGGTGGGTGGGGGGGTAGCTAGGTGGCACAGTGGATAGAGCACTGCCCCTGGATTCAGAAGGACCTGAGTCCAAATCCGGCCTCAGACATATAACACATACTAGCTGTGTGACCCTGGGCAAGTCACTTAACCCCATTGCCTAGCAAAAAAATAAAAAGAGAGATTTTGGGGCAGCTAGATGGCGCAGTGGATAGAGCACCGGCCCTGGATTCAGGAGGACCTGAGTTCAAATCCGGTCTCAGACACATAACACATACTAGCTGTGTGACCCTGGGCACATCACATAACCCCATTGCCTAGCCAAAAGAAAAAAAATAAAATAAAATAAAGAGGGCCCAGCTGGGCTTCAGGAGGACCTCTTTACAAAGATGCTTCTTCCTCGTTTCTGCAAACCCCCTTCCCTCTCCTCATCACTGTCCCCAGTGAAGTGTAAATTAGTTACACTAAAACAGATCCGCCAAGTCTGAAGGGGCACTCAGGGAGAGAAGGGTCCCCAGGAGGCTTGGCTGATATTCTGCATCCTTCAGTTTTCTGAAATGCCACAGGAGGAGAAGGAGCTCTCTCCTCCCCCCGGCATTCTGTCTTGCTTCTCCTCTTTTCCCCCCTCCTTCTTTTCCTCTTCTTCCTCCCTCCTCTCTCTCCTCCTCTATCATTTTTCTCTCTTCCCCCTCTCTCTTCCTTCTTCCTTCCCTTCTCTTCTTTCCTTCTCTTTTCTTCTCTCACCTTCCTCTTTACCATCCTTTTTTTCCTCCTTCCTTCTCTCCCTCTTCCCCTTCCTTCTCCCCATCTTTCTTACACACACAAAAGTTGTCGGTACCAGCATCAGGGAATTACTATAAATAGTGGGTGGGTTGGCAGTCAGAGCCTTAGGATGGTTGCCGCCATTTGGATTTCTTAAGTAGGGCTTAGGGATAGAGGTTAGACCTGTCATTTCAACAACCTAGTGAACTCCTGGAGGAGGAAAAGCAGATTTGCCCAGGTCTTTCGGCTCCCAGGCCAACTGTCTTTTTACTGCCACAGTACTTAACACAGCACCAGGCACGTAGTAGGTGCACAGCAAATGCTTATAGACCGACTTGCTAGGCCAAGGTGAGTTCATTCAGATGAAAAAGAAAATGACCACTTCGCCAGCCCTGTTCTGCCAATGAAGCTGCTGCCATCTTGGGGTGCTTTCAGAGAGGCACAGTTCCAGGAATGACAAGGTGAGCTCATCCCGCTATCCCTGCCCCTAGTCAGATTCCACAGCTGGAATACTGTGGTCAGTCCTGTACACTACAATTTTAAAGGCCAGTGACCTTGGACAGCATGCTGTGGAGGGCAGCCAGGGTGTGGTGAAGAGTCTGGGCTTTGTGCCATGTAACGATGGGGTGAAGGACCTGGGGATGGTTGTCTCAGAGGAGAGAAGACTTGGGCAGACCGGACTGCTGTGGATGTAATGTACCTGATTTTAGTTTTGTGAACTTTGTTCACACTTTTCTTGCGGAGAAGATGGCAGGGTATGGATCAGCCAGGAATGGAGCCAGATTGTTTTAGAACTGGTTTGATAGACATATTTAAAGACCCCATCGTCCTTAATGGCTTGGTGTGAGTGTGGCAGAAGGCCTTCGGTAGAGTGCCCCAGGGATCTATTCCCCTGTGCAAAGTGGCTTATCAGTGACTTGGGTGAGGTTTGCTGGACAAAGATGCAGAAGGACCAAAGCTGGGAAGGGTTGGCAGGGCAGCCGATAGAATCTGGATCCAAATGGTTCTTGAGGCTTGAGCACTGGGCTGAATCCAATAAGATGAAATTCATTAGTGGTCAATATAAAGTTGTGCACTTTGGCACAAAAATTCAAACTCACAAAAAGAAGATGGAGGAAGCCTGGATAGACAACGGCTGTTCTGAAAAAGATCAGAGCGTTTAAATGGACTGCAAGGTCAGTCTGGTTCAACAGTGGGACATGGCCGCTAATGGAAGCCTGGGTTGCACTGATCAGGGCTGCTGTTCCAGGAAGAGGTGGGATGAAGCACTGTCTTGTGCCCTTCTCAGCCTCCTCTGGAGCCTTGTGCTCATTTCTGGGCACCATGGCTCAAGAAGGACACTGATGAGCTTGAGAGTGGTGGCAGAGGGCAGCCAGGACAGCCATGGGCCTTGAGCTTCTGCCATCTGAGAAGGTATTTGGAGAAACAGCTTGTGTTCATCCTGAAGGAAAGAAGGTGTGGGGATGGAATAGTTGCCTTCCAGCATATGAAGGAGGGAGGTTCTGTTTGGCTCCAGAGAGGAGACCCAAAGGGAAGGTGGCAGGGAGGCTGATTCAGGCCAGAGGTCAGGGAGAGCTTCTGGACAGTGAGAGGTGTGTCCAGAAGAGGGAGAGCTGCTGCCTCCAGAGCAGGTGGGTTCCCTCTCCCTGGCAGTGTTAGGCCAAGACTGGACACCCACCCATCAGGACATTCCTTGGTGTAGGGGGTAGACCAGGTGACTGCTGGGGTCCTTCATGTATCTGAAGGGCTGCCATGGAAAAGGGGCAGAACCCACAGTAGTGGGTAGAAGGGGCCAGAGGACAAATTAAGTTTGATATTGGACAGTCACATCTGCCTCAGAGCAGAATGGGTTGCTCTTGCCTCTTTTTACAGAAGAGGAAACTGAGGCCTAGAGAAGTAGTTGTCCTCCAGCTCTCAGATTGTGTGTGCTTCCAAGGATTCCAGCCAACCCACGCCAGGAAAGCTTTAGTGACTGTTCTTCAGGGTCCGGCCAACACAAGAATCTGTGGCCAGATTCTTCCCCTTCTGTCTAAACCAATCAATCACTCAATAAATAAGCATTTATCTGGCACATGCACTGTGCTTAGCCCTGGAGAGATCTAGAGAAAGAGAAGACAAGTCTCTGGCCTCAGGGAGCTTGCCATCCAAAGGAGGAGTCCCGGAAGCAGGTGTCCTTCCCAAATACGGAGGGGGCAGTGGGTGTAGGGAGCCAAGCCCCAGGCCTGCAGGAGCAAGGGCTCCGCGCTCTCTTCCGTGGCACAGTGATGGGCAGCAATGCTGCAGAGCCTGAGCCCTGAGCATTTCCAGTTCAAGCCTGGCAGGCAGGCAGCTGAGGACAGACGGGGGTTTCTCAGCCCGGGGAAAGACTCTGGACTCTGCTGTTTCACTTTTGTCGGATGTTTACATTAAGAGGGGCGCAGAATGACTCAGTGCAGCCCCTGCAGCCCAGAGGAGGG